CCCCCGCTCCACGAATCCCATTGGGGGGTCGAGATCCCCGCTGTGGTGGGCGGAGACGCCAAAGGCTTCGAAAACCGCGAGGGAGGGAAGGATAAGGGAGAAGAAAAGGACGGAGAGGGAGGGCTCGGAGGCCCTTGGAGGGGGGGATGTGCCCATCCGAGGGAACGGTGCACCCCCCCCTCCCCGTCGTGAAATCGAGGCACCAGCCGTGGCAACGACCCCCCCCCTATCCCCCTCCGCGACCTGAGTAGACCACCCAGGCCAGCGGAGGACGTCATAGGGGGCGGGGGTTCTGACTTCGATGAAAGAAGAGAAGGAAAGAGGGGGGGAGGATCAGGCAGACGAAAGCCCTTTTAGGCTTTCCCCGGCGTGTGGAAATGCCCTCTTTGGCTTTTGCGGGGACTAACCCGCGCGGTCGCCCGCAGGCGACAGGGCGCCCAGGCCCTCTCCGCGCGCGCAGGCGCGTGGCAAACTACATGCGCACGATCGCCCGTGGAATCGAATGGAACCGTCCGCGGCGAGTCGTCCGCGGCGACTCAGGACCACGTCGCCCTGGAAGAAGAGGCGCTACAAGGATGCATTCTGCGACGCTGGACATCCTGATGCGACGAGGACGCTGCAGAGAAACATTCTGCGCGCGTACGCACGACCTGGAACGACAAGCACAATACTGGAACAAATTCGGTGACGCTGGACTCCCCGATGGGACGAAGAAGCAGCAGAGACACGTCTCAAGGCGCAGCAACACCGAAGTGACGCAAACGCACCCCGCGACACGACAAGGACGCTGCAAGAAGAAACTCGGCGACGCAGGAGTGCGTGGAAGCTACAAAGGCATGGAAAGGAAGCTACGAGGAAACTACAAAGTATTCAAAGCGTCTCGAGCTTAGGGAGCGCAGAGACACGTCTCAAGGCGCAGCAACACCGAAGTGACGCAAACGCACCCCGCGACACGACAAGGACGCTGCAAGAAGAAACTTGGCGACGCAGGAGTGCGTGGAAGCTACAAAGGCATGGAAAGGAAGCTACGAGGAAACTACAAAGTATTCAAAGCGTCTCGAGCTTAGGGAGCCTTCCTCAGAGCCCTTGTGCGCACGACTCGGGGCAGCCGGCCGCCCTCCCCTCCTGTTCGTCCTCCTCCTCCTCCTCCTGCTCGTCCTCGTCCTCCTCCTGCTCGTCTTCTTTCTCCTGCTCCTCCTCCTCCTCCTCCTCCTCCTCCTCTTTCTCCTGCTCCTCCTCCTCCTCCTCCTCCTCCTCCTCTTCCTCTTGCTCGTCCTCGTTCTCGTCGTCCTCGTCTTGCTCGTCCTCCTCCTCCTGGTGCTCTCTCCTCCTCCTCCTCCTCCTCCTCCTCCTCCTCCTCCTGGTGGTCCTCGTTCTCCTCCTCCTGGTGCTCTCCCCCCCCCTCCTCCTCCTCGTCCTCCTCCTCCTCCTCCTCGTCCTCCTCCTCCTCTTCCTCCTCCTCCTCCTCCTCCTCCTCCTCCTTCTCCTCCTCTTCCTCATCCTCCTCCTGGTAGTCCTCCCCCTCCCCTCCTCCTCCTCCTCCTCCTCTTCCTGGTCGCCCTCGTTCTCGTCCTCCTCGTCTTGCTCGTCCTCCTCCTCGTGATGTTCTCTCCCCCTCCTCCTCCTCCTCCTCCTCCTCCTCCTCCTCCTCCTCCTCCTCCTCCTCCTCCTCCTCCTCCTCCTCCTCCTACTCCTCCTCCTCCTCCTCCTCCTCCCATCCTCCTCCTCCTCCTCTCCTCCTCCTCCTCCTCCTCCTCCCTCCTCCTCCTCCTCCTCCTCCTCCTCCTGGTACTCCTCCTCCCCTCCTCCTCCTCCTCCTCCTCCTCCTCTTCCTGGTCGTCCTCCTCCTCCTGGTCGTCCTCCTCCTCCTGCTCGTCCTCCTCCTCCTCCTGCTCGTCCTTCTTCTCCTGCTTCTCCTGCTCCTCGTCCTGCTCCTGCTCGTCCTCGTCCTCCTGGTCTTGCTCGTCCTCCCCCTCGTCGTGCTCTTGCCCCTGCTGAAAATGTAGCCCAGGAATGGGAGTTTTGGGAAGTCGAAGAGCACGAAGTTGCCTACAGTTGGCTACGGGCATTCAAAATGTGGCCCGGGAATGGAGTTCTGGGAACTCGAAGAGCACGAAGTGGCCTACAGTTGGCTCCGGGCATTCAAAATGTGGCCCGGGAATGGAGTTCTGGGAATCGAAGAGCACGAAGTGGCCTACAGTTGGCTCCGGGCATCCAAAATGTGGCCCGGGAATGGCGTTCTGGGAACTCGAAGAGCACGAAGTGTGTGACTGTTGCATCCGGCCCCCCAGAATGTGGCCCGGGAATGGCGTTCTGGGATGTCGAAGAGCACTTTGTGTGTGACTGTTGCATCCGGCCCCCCAGAATGTGGCCTGGGAATGGAGTTCTGGGAAGGCGAAGGGCACGAAGTGTGTGACTGTTGGTGAAAAACGAGCCCGGCTCATGCCGCCCGGAAACGCCCCAACACCTGCCCGGACCCCCCTGTGGAGTGATCTGTGAGCTCTTTTTACACCACTAGAAACCTATCAGTCTTCGCTGTTAGGTAAAATCGTCCCATTCCCAGAGGAACATGTACACTTCCCGCATGAACGGCGTTTCGAGTTTCACAGCGCCTCAGACTACGCAAATAGCCCCCAACATCGCCCCGAGACAGCCCAACAATCCGCTAAAATCGGCCCAAGACGGCCCAAGATAACCCCAAGACGGCACAAGAGAGCACCAAGACCGCCCAAGAGGCGCCCAAAGGGGGATTCTGCCCCTAGGAGCACCTCAGAAGCCACCAACATCCCGCCAATAAGTCCCCCAAGACGCCCCAAGAACCACCCAAGAAGCCCAACAAGAAGCCCCAACGACCCCCAAACGGCCCTTACGGGGCCTCAAGAGGCTTCAACACTGCCTCCAAGAGGTTCCCGAGACGCCTGGCAAAAGAACCCCCAGAGCGCCGCATTGACACCAGGCCCTCGGGCAAACGGCAGACATGAGACTGTATGGGCCGGCGGAATGAGCGAAGCGATTAAATATAAGCCAGTGCTGATTCCGAATAGATGAGGCGACTCAAACCAAGGAAGCCGAGGAATCTGGCTTGCTTGGAATCCGCAGCCTGGCAAGCAAGCGAGCGCGCAAGCAATCAAGCAAGCAATCAAGCAAGCAAACGCGGAAGCAAGCAAGCGAGCAAGCAATCGCGCAAGCAAGCAAGCAAACACGCGGTCATTGGAAACATAGGCATAAGCATCGGCATAGGCATAGGATCGCTCAAATGTGGTGCATTGGCATTGGCATAGGCGTAGGCATAGGAGTTAGAGGGGGGGCATAGGCATAGGCATCGCCATCGGACTCGGGGGGGGCATAGGAATTAGGGGGGTCAACGGTCCAAAATCGAAAGGTTTGGGTTTGTTCCTGTAGGGCAACCCTATTTGGAGAAAATACCGCGCCCCCCATACTTGTGTTAATCGCAAGATGACAGTACTTTGCGCGCCGTGAGGCGACGCGGATAGATGGATGCTGCGGAGCACGCGTGCACGGGTGCGTTGAACTCCTTGTGGGGCATGATCCGGATGCTCCCGCGCGAACGAGCCCACTGAGGCCGCAGGTGAACCTCCTCCGGGGGCGCCGTGCAAAGCTGCACGTTGGTGCCATGGGTGGAGCGTCCTTTGGGGCGTGATTGGCTGGACGGGTGTGCCGACGTGGTCACGATGGCGCGGTGCGAACCTTCGTTTTGGGCCTTCAGGTGGTGCTCCTTGTGGGCACGATCCGCGTGATGGGGCGTGCCGCAATGGCGAAAAGGTTGGCGCAGCACGATCCGTGTGCGAGGTGTGCCGGAGTAGGCGGGGGGGCGAGATGCGAACCTTGTTTCCAGGGCCGTTTGTGGGGGCGTTTGCAGGCCACGCTCCGTGTGGGAGGTGTGCCGAAGTGCGCTGGTCTTAGTGCCAGGAGTGCGGGTACAATCACGGCACGATCCGCCGAATTGGCGTACCGTTATGCGAACCGTATCTCTGGGAACGTGGGTGGGACTATCTCTGGGACGCGATTCCTGTAAGAGGTGTGCCGACAGTGGCGGGGGGACGGCTAGGGAAGCTTGTCCCTGGGACCGCAGGCGAAGCTCCCCGAAGGGCACGATCGGTGTGACAGTATGTGCGGTCCTCCGACGCCGAACGCTTTTGAATTACAACAGGAGCATGCGATAATGCAAGCGCGCGCGTGGTCCCAGTGTATACGCAATGGAAGCCCATACTAAGAAACACCTTGTGCGCCTCCAGGGTGCCATGTTTTTTGTGCTTCGATGGTCTGGTCATGGAAATCGCGAAGTCCCTAAGTATTCAACAAGTCAATGGACGTCCTGGCGTGTCACGGTTGGGTTTATTGCGGAAGGTTTGTGTCCGAGGTCCTGGTGTTTTTTGTATTCGTACATACATGCGTACATGCATACGTACATCTTGTACATACATACATACCTACATACCTACATACATACACACACGAATCTGTCCATACACATACAGACGGGTCACAGTCAGACACAAACACGGACACATGTTTCCATGCGCAGACACATACCGCCTGAGGGGCACAGACCGACAGGTCAAGCGAGGCAGAGGCGGCTGCACACATACAGGCTCAGGCTTCAGACAGACCAGCTGCAAAGGGCGGAAGGCGCGCATGCGCGGTCCCAGAAGCTGACAGTGAAGCAGCAAAAGAGAGGGACAGGGTGGTAGCGAGAGAAAGAGAGAGAGAGAGAGAGGGAGAGAGTGAAAACAACACAACAAGAGAAAGAGAGAGAGAGAGAGTGGGAGAAAAACATAAAAAGAGAACGAGGGCGCCGGCGGCTGGTAGTCCACATCCCCTCCACTCCCTTCTCCTCCTCCGATGTGTGCATGCCTTGAGGGATGGAGAGAGTGCGAGAGTGGTGCAGAGAAAAAGCGCGACTGCACGGGAAGCCGTGGCCGACAGCAAGCGTTGCATTCGGCTCGCCGGTGCCGCGCGCGAGAAGTTGCCGCGCGCAGGATGTTGTTGCAGTGGCGCGAGATGGCGTTGGAGGAGGGCGCCTGCTCTTGCCCTCATTTCTCTGTCCGTTGGGGCCTTTCTAGGCCCCCTCGCCTGCCAGTTTCAAAGAACTGAAAATGGCATCAACATGAATTGTTGACAGTCCGCGCGGACTTCTCGGATCGGCGCTGGAGTCATCTGGCGGCGCCTTCGGCGCCACCCCTGGCGCGCTCCGCACGCCAGTGAGGGGGTCCAGCGCCGATCCGACAAATCCGTGCGGACCTCCGAGTTATTCTGTTTATGTCATTGCGTGTTCCACTACTGTAGGCCCCCTCGCCTGACAGCTGCTTTTGCCCAGCTACGGCTGGCAGCCGTGAAAAGTCAAGCAGGTGTCCGAACACCTTGTTCTATCCAGTTGCCTGTGGCAATTCCCTTCACCGTGCCAGCCCAGCATTCTGATTGGCGACTGTTCAATGGGTACGGGAGGCCGGTACGTGTGATTCCTCGTGTCTGCAGGCTTGGAAGAGCCGTGATGTTGAGTACTATCATGATACAACTGATAATGGTGATTGTGCTCCTTATGGATGTTATGGCGATGATGGTGATTCTTATGATGACGCTGATGCTCCTGATGATGGTGTTGACGAGGATGACGATGCTGGTGGTGATGATGATGATGCTGATGGATGATGATGACGATGATGATTGGGATGGCAAGGACACCTGAGTATGGAGGCAACGATGGTGGTCGTGACGGTGATTGTGTTGATGATTATGGTGATTGTGAGGATGAGGATGAGGATGATGAGGATGATGATGATGACCATGATGACGATGATGATGATGCTGATGGTGATGATAGGATGACGATGAGGATGCTGATGTTGATGGTGGTGGTGATGATGATGGTGCTGTTGATTGTGATGATCTTGTTACTGATGATGGTAGTGTCGCTCATGATGACAGTGTTGGTGGCGGGGCAGGCGGCGGGCCGCCACCGCATCTGACGTCAGGTGCGGCATTAATTGAGGTCTACACGCGGTGCGGGCTCCGCTACTGGCGGCTGGATCTCGACTTGCATGCGCGTCGCGTTGATCGCGGCGATCTCCCTCTACATCTACAACCCTGCGCTCCCATCCTCATCAATGCGAGCATTCATGGACTGCATCTTTCACCTGGGATGGCTGCTGCTGTCTCCGCGGCGGCGCAACTACTCGTGCTGCCGCCGGCGCGTCCAGCGCCGCGCCTCCGCGTCGCGCGGGCTCCTCGCCCCCCGCCGCGGCCCCCTGGCCAGTCTCCCCCCGTGAGCGGCCCGGGGCCTCAGGCCAACATTGGCGGTTTGATTCTGGCTCCCTTCCGAGGGGATCTGCAGGGCGCTACGTGGAACGCTCAGGCCCTGTTCGCCCGCAAACGCAGCAGGCAGGCAGCCAAGGAGATGTACGTCCATCGGCTCCTTCGCTCACGGGATTTCCTGGCCTTGTCCGAGACGCACAACCTCGAGGGGGAGGGGATGGCCTGGGCCGGCCCTCACGGCTGCCGAGCTTGGTTCTCTCCGGGGACCTCCCGCCAGGCAGGAGTCGGCATCGTCGTGCAACATAAATTCCTTCAGCAGTTTGACTCCGCGCTCACCCGATGGGAAGAACTCGTTCCTGGCCGGGCTGCGGTGCTACGCCTGGCCGGCCCGCAGGGCTCCCTGGAATTGTACACCGTGTATTTTTCTACGTCGAGCGCTTCTGGTCCCGTGCAGCCGCGGGGAGCACCGCAACAAGGGGATCCTGAAGCACACGCCCGCCAACAACGCATGGACATGCGTCAGCGGCTGGCTGCGGCCATGGCCCCCACTGCCTCTACCCTTTCTGTTATGATGGGCGATTTTAATTGGGTCGTGAACGAACGCGATCGGTTTTCGAAGACTACGGCAGAATATTCGGGGCAGCGCGACGCTGCAGACGAGCGCCACTTCCAGACAACGTTGGCGCGGCCACACGCTCTGCACGAACTACGTCAACCAGCCATGACCCACGGCAACGCCAGCGCGCGCTCGCGGCTAGACCGGGTGTATTGGAACCAATCTGTGGCAGAGCAGCTTGATCGACAAATATATTGTGCGCCGCTGGAGTGGGTGCCTCATTTGTCCGCACACCGCGCCGTTGCTTTCGGGCGCCGGCGCCCTGCCCGTGCACCAGACGGACCGCGCCCCATCCCAGCGACAATTCTTCGGGACGATACGTGGGTTGCCAGAGTTGCTGTCGACTTTCACGAGCGAGTGGGCGCGGACACAGGCAACGAGAATCCACTGCGGACGCTGGTTCTACTCAAGCTGGCGATCCGCGCCGTGTCTGACCACATGGCTTCCGAGGCTGCCCGGGCTCAGCGCGTCTCCCTGGTTTGTGCGAGCAGCAGAAAACGGACATGCGGGGACTATGAGACGTTGCCTTCAGTCCTATCCACATGTACGAACGTTTGCCGCCGAACCAATGGAGCTTGTGCGTTTACGCGGAGGAGGTCTTGAGCCATTCCGCCAGCACGCCGTCGAGCTCGCGCGGGACGCAGCAGTCCGGCAGCTCCACGAGCAGCACGAGCACGCACACGAAGCCACCGACGGGGAGAAGGCGCACAAGCGGGACAGACTACTTCAGGCGCTCCGGCGGCTCTCTCCGGGCAGGTGCGCGGCCGTGCCGGCAGTGCGGAACGCCCGCGGCGAGGTGCTCACCGATCCTGACGAGATGGCAGCAGCGTTGCGCGAAAACTTGTCCTCTGTCTTTGCGTCGTGCCGCGTGGACAGGCGACGCCTGCAGGAGTGGCTTCGCGAGGACCTATCCTCCGCCGGGCTCACTCCAGCGGACAGCCCGCTCTGGCAGCCACAACGGCTGGACGTTCAAAGCGCAGTTGAGGCCGCCCCAGACTCGGCGCCGGGACCAGACGGCATCCCGTTCAGTGCGTGGCGGCGTCTGGGGCCACTGGCAACCGACGTGCTGTTTGCTGCGCTGCAACACTTGGCCGCTGGCCCCGCCCAGGATGAGCTCGACGACTTCTTGCGGGGCCCCTCCGACGAGCTGGGTATTCCTGCCTAAGGCGCCGTCGGGCCACGAGGACGGGGTGGGCCACTTCTTTGACCCGGGCGACACGCGACCGTTGAACATTGTTAACTGCGGCAACAGGATTTTGGCCAATGCTGTCCGGAAACGCATAGAACCATTTCTGGCCGAATGGGTGTCGCACATGCAGCGCGGCTTTCTCCCTGGGCGGTCAATGCTTGCGAACGTCGTTGACATCGACCATGCCATGATGCAGGGCGCCTTGTGTGAGGAGTCGGGCGTGGCGGTGTTCTTCGATTTTAAGGCGGCGTTCCCCAGCGTCTCCCACCAATTTCTGCAGGATGCACTTGGCGCGGTGGGACTACCTCAGTGGGTTTTGAATTTCGTGTCAATCTTGTACCAGCCAAACATCTGCTCGCTGGTGGTCGGGGGCCGTCATGAGCTGCTCGCGGGCATTCGCCAGGGCTGCCCACTTTCACCGCTTCTGTTCTCGGCATCGATCGACGTGCTCCTGCGCAGACTGGCGAGGCTCACGCCGTGTGCCACGATGCGGGCATACGCCGACGACGTCGCCGTGGTGCTCCCGCGCGGCACTGCAAGCTTTCCAGTCCTGGTCCAGCTCTATGAAGAATTTGCCCGGCTCTCCGGGCTCCGCCTCAACATCCCCAAAGCAATCATCGTGCCGCTCTTCTTGCAGGATGTTGCAGCCTTCGCGGCGGCCGTGTCTCGAGACTTTCCTGCGTGGGCTGGCATCGGCGCCGGGCGGTGCGCGAAGTACTTGGGCTTCATGCTTGGCCCCGAGCGAGGCGACCGCGCCTTCGACAAGCCTCTTCGCAAGTATCGAGAGCGGGCTTCTGCATGGGGATCCGCCGGGGGCGGTCTGTTCTTGACGATCATGGCATGCAAGGTGTTTGTCTTTCCAGTGGTGCGCTTCCTCCTGCAGCTCGACGCGCTGCCTGCGCAGTGGGCCCGTGCAGAGGAGGCGGCGCTCGGGGCGCTGGCGCCCGGCCCGGGCACGTGGTTCTTGCCAGAGGACCTTCGCATTCGCAACCTTCGGGCCATGGGCTTCCCGCAGGAATTCCCAGATGCAGCCGCCGTGTCGCTGGCGCGCCGGTTCCGCGTGGCTCACTTGGAGGCGCCGCCGAACGGGCTCCGCGCGGAGTCCCGGGCGAGAGAGCTACGGCGGTGGAGGGGCGATTCCCCGCGCGCGGTGCGGCACGGGACGTGGGCGTCCTGGTTCGACAAGGCTTTCGTGCTCCAACTTGAACAGGCGGTCGAGCACTTCCGCAGGGCTGGCGTGCGCCCAATCACGCTGGAACGCCAGTTGTCCGGCCAAGTGGCGCGCCCCCTTCCAGAGACCGTGGCTCTGCGAGTCCGTCGGCAGTTCCAGCGCGCTGCACAGGCCGCGCTCCCTGGGACAGATCGCGGCTGGCTTGCTCAACGAGTTCGACACAAGCTGGCCCGCTGGAGCGCGCCGCAATTTCCTGGCGCGCGGGCGGAGCGCTGCATTCTAGTGCTGAACGCCCTTGCCCCGCTGGTGCCTCCGCGGGTGTGGGCGGCCGTGTTCCGGACGTTGTGGAACGGTTGGATGACGTGCAAGCGTTTCCCGCTGGCCGGCGGCCTCGGCAACTGGTGTCCGTTCTGCAGTGGACACGGTCTGGACAGGATCGAGCACTATGCCTCTTGCCTTGCGGCGCGGCAGTTCTCGCAGGCCATTCTGGGCCTCCAGCGCCCGTGCACCTCGGCAGCCTGTTTGGCGGACTTCTTGCTCCTTGACATTGCGGCTGGTGCGTTGCCTATCAATTCGGACTTGTTGGCGCGCAAAGCACTCCGCACCGCAGCCGCCTACAGAGTTCACTGCTTGGCGCGGCATGGCCGGGTGAGGGCTGGCGCAGCGGCAGTGGAGGCATTCCGCCAATCTGTTCGGGAATTCGTCCGCGGTCATGCCGCCGCGAACCGGGCGCTTTGGCAATTCTGCCGAGGCCGGCCTCGTGTAGCAGGGCTCGCTTCGTCGAC